ATTGAATTTCTGGATGCCAACGCAACTGAACTTCTTCACTGCAGGTCGTCCTGGGATCGCGTGTGAGCTGACGATTCAAACCTGTAGATGTTATAATTTCATGAGGTTCTCCAGATTATGAATAACTTTTTTGAATGTCTGGTAAGTAACTTGCATGATTGATTAACGCAAAAGATATTCCTCTTCAGCATTCCTTCTTTGGCGATAAACACCTTAGAAAAAAGCGCCGCAGTAGTTAAACAAGATGCAGTATTTCTCTACGAGCATTTTCCGGCTGTTGTTCACCGCCATATACTTCATCAAAATCACTCTATGGCACTAAAATTATGATAAGGAAAGATAGGGAAGTCTCTGGATTGGTAACAACATTCCTACTGATTCTTTGCATTACTTAATTCAAAGAAATTTTCTCAAAAAAAAAATGAAAGATCAGTAGCTGATAAAAACTAATTCTACTAGATTTTCCGAATTACAACTATTTATTTAATAGTTCGAGCAAAAATGCTTGTTTATCTACAAGTCGCTTACATCTCAAATTCTCTAACTTCTGATAGTGAGAATAATGGAAAAATTACCAATCTTAGTAGGAAAATAGGACTTTTTAAATTTTTTATTTGAGCTTTCTCTACAGCTTTTTCACCTACATCTTTCATTCAATGAAAAGTTAACAGCTTATTAGCAATTCTAATAATCTCTTTGTTTTAATAAAGCAAAAAAGCCAATTTTCTATTAAATATGGTTGACCTTTATGTGCATTCACGCAAAATATATATGGCAATTGCCTTGCACACACTCTCTTCCTGGTTGGAACCGCCAAATCGTAGCTAAAACGTTTTGACGTTTTGGCAAAGAAGATTGTATATGTAAGGTTCTTTCAAATACACTTTAGCCACACTGGCGGAAAAGCATTTCAATTCGTACGTCTCTGCGAGCGTAACATTGACTTTGCGGCACGCAGCTTCTCCGTACTCTGCGACTTCGACATTTTCACAGAGACCGCGGCATATCCTTTTCTGGCAGCTCATCTCAAAATTTGTAAAGAGTTCGAAGGAGCATTACAGTTTGGAATTAAATGAATTAAACGGGAGAACTTTCACAAAAATTAGTATGCTGTAACTCTAAAGAAATTTCTTTTTCCTACCATTTTTGCGAATTTGGTATCCTCCTCTAAGGATGCGGATGACTAGAATATTTTGACTAAGATGTTCTTTCCTTTTGCTAGGAATTATTGGAGTTCATAGTTGTGCCAT